TTTTACATGAAATTTTACATTTTTGTGTTTTATCTTGTGACTATGATAAGGGTTAATGAAAGGCAATAACACCCTTTAATATGCAGAGATAATTTTTAAGGGGAAGCAGTTAGTTATAAGCAATTAAATTAGGTATAAGATAACCTAGTCATTATGGATTTACATGGCTGCTATTAAATTTTATTTTTTAACAATATTTGTTAAAAAAGGCCCTATGAAAATCTCAATCTATAATAATAAAATTTCACTGTTTAAAATACATGTAATTTATGACATTGATTCTTAAACTATATTTGGATAATTACACATTAAAAGTTATAAAACATTTATGTTTTGTAGCAACAATAATCAACAAAATATTTATGCGTCTTTTTAATTTGAAGCCTTCCCAGACATTTTGGTTAACTTATATCAATAGGCTTATGCTAATAAAATCAATTACAGCTCGAAGTGATGTAATGACAAGAAGAGTCAAATTCAAACTAAAAACATGGATTAGTAGTCAAAGACTATACACTTTAATTTCATTTTCATAGAATTCAATTCATACACTTCCTATCAATTCTGTAACAGAATTAAGCCAGAAATATTTTGACCCCCCCCAAAAAAAATCGGAGGAAAAAGTGTAAAATTAATTTTATAGAGAAAAACAGGGCTTAATCTTTAAAATTAGATGTGCTGAAGCCCCGTGGAACACCGTCAGGAAAGAGGTACAAAAGTAAATAAATAAAAATGACTAATAAAATCACTTATAATTAAAATATTAAATATTAATTATTAAAATAATTCAATAATTAATACTTAAAGCAATTAAATAGTTTAAATAAAAATTTAAAATATAAGATAAATTAAAATTGAATAAGTGATTTTTAATACAATTTTATTACTAAAAATAAAATTTTCGATATCAAATTTCTACTGAAATTTTGTTCAGGTACAAAAAGAAGTGCCACAGCTTTCTTATTTAGGGCTCTGAGTAGAATTATGATATATCCCCAAAACTAAGAAGTTCAAGAGCAGGTCTAGGGTGCAATTTAAGCACTGGAGGAAACTGATGTAATATTTTGAGAATTCCAAATATTCTGAGACAATTACATGGGGAAAACTCTAACCATGAAAATACTAAAAAATCATTTTTAATTAATTACATAGCTAGTTTGCTTTTGCTAAGAACTGTTTCGTAAATGGTGCTTTATAGTATTACACCTCGCTTATTTGCCACATATAATAAAAGGCCGAAATGGAACTTTACAACATCACATCAAAAAATAAAAACTTATCTCTTAACTTATCTTTTAACTTATCTCATAAATATAATTCAAAAATATTACCATTATTTAAATGAAATTTATCAATGTCACAATGTTAAAAGAAAAACTGTCGAAAAATTCCTAGATCTCGGACTTAAAATTTTCTATAGAAACAGATCTTAAAATCGCCAAAATGTTGATAAGTCACCAAATTTAGAACAGTTTAATTAAAGAATTCCCATCCCAAATAGCGAAAAGTTGTTTAAGAGCTCTTCATTAGAAAAAGTGAAATAATTTTGAAATGCTTATGTTTCACTTCTTGCTCAGAAAATTGAGTATCCCACCATTTATATTAGAAATAGGATCAAATTATAACCCATGAACCCATTCAAAAGATAATCATATTTGTCAGCAAATCACCAAAAATATTACTCCAAAATGTTAATTCACACTCAAAATGGCAGTCCTAAAAATAGACAGAAATTTCAGATGATTAAAATGAAGGACCTTCTGAAAATTTTGGCCGAAATTACAGACTTTTAAGGGCCAAAAATCGTTTCCAAAAAACTTAAGGACTCTTAAGGACCGTACAAACCCTGTTTTAATATATTGACCTCAATTTCTGAAGTTATGTACTTAATATACTAAATATTAATATAAAGAATATCGCATTAATAGAAATAAACGAAACATGCACAATACTAAAATTATTATTATAAGAATAAAAACAAATACTACACATAAGAAAACAAAATTACAAATACGAAATATAAAAGAAAATTAAGCAATAATTATCTGCAGGTAATTAAATTCCAATTTAATAATTCTGCTGTGTGTAGAGTAATTGAAAACAAGAATCGACACAGAGGACAATGACAGCTGCTTTTACCGAGCAAGTAAGATGTATCGTGCATCCGGAAAGCTGATATCTTCTCCCTTCTGTAATAATGTTGCAAAGTTACTTTTTAATTAACCACGATAGTCTATGTTAAGTTTTAAAATAAAAATAAAAAATGACAACTGGTCTGAGTTTTTCCATCATGGAAGTTCGGTGACATTACACCCGTTATAGTCAGCTAGATGCATTTTCCAACATTCTAAAAAAAAAAAGCTGGATGCATTATCCCATATTCTAATAATGAAAAACACAAAGAATAAAAATTAAGGGGGAAAAAAAACTAATGAAATAAACAAACACATGCCAGTGTCCCTTTAATTTAAAAAACAGTTGGTTCATAGTTTGTTTACACCAATAAATCTATCAAAACCAGAAGCACAGAATAGAAATTGATGCTCATACATGAAGGTCAAAAGCTATATGACTTAACCTGATGTGAAAACTGTTACTATTTACCACTACCTACTAGCATTTAAAAAAAAAAAAGTCCTGTTGTCAAGTTATATATATGTGACGATGGGCTGAAGAGACTGATCAGAGTTCTTCCTGTATACGTGATGCTGGGCTAGTTAAGAACGGAATCATTGCATCGCACATACGCGACGCTGGTCCTCAACAGGTTAAGAACTCAGCAAAATGTTTTCAAACAGCCCATGCTGAAGCCACTTGCAATGACTAATGCATTACTCAAAGAAAGCCATTTGTTAGCGAAAAGTAAACCATTTTCTGATGGGGAATTTATAAAGAAACTTTCTTGGAAATGTAATTCATTTTTTAATGATTTTAAGAAAAAGATTGAAATTAATGCTGTAATTAAAGATTTACAACTGTCTTGAAATACTGTGATGTAATGGGCCGGAAAAATGAATGAAAATACTAGAGAACTACTAATACTAGTTATACTAGAAAATACTAGTCATATAATGTCATCTAATTAACAGGTTTTCTTGCGAAGAATCAACAGATTAAGTGACAAACAGTTTATTTTTATTCACATCATTTTTAAAGATTATGCATCTACAGAAGAATTGTTAGTAATTTCTTTAGAAGAAAGGATATGTAGATATATTTAACCGTTTTAAAAAATTCCTTACTAATTTAAAATTACCACTTTTTAAATTAGTTTCAGTAACAACAGATGAAGCAGGAATAATAAGAGGCTGCGTAAATGGATTTAAACTTGATGCCAAAATGATAACATATTCCAAAGATTTTGAGCTACCACTAGACATTTCACCAACAAGTATTATCCAGTAAAAGATTAAATATTAGCGAAATAATCGACATTGCATTCAAAAGTGTTAATTTCATTTGAGACAGTTCCTTCAAATGGCATTTCTTTCAGCTGCAATATACTGAAGAAAAACCAGAATTATTATTCCATACCGATTTTAGGTGGCTGAGAAGAGGTAAATTTCTACAATGATTTCATGATTTATTTACTCAAATAAATAAATTAAACAGTAAGATCAAGAATGTATAAAAGGTGAAACTCAGGTCAGTGATTTAGTGTTTCTTACAGATTTTACGTCACAGTTAATTGATTTAAATTTAGAAATGCAAGGAGAAAACAGTGTAACAATTGAAATTATCAGTTGCATTAATGCATATAAAACAAAATTTACCATTTTAATAAGATGATTTTTAACAAAACAATTTGTATCACTTTTCAGATATGTTTGATCATCTGCAAAAGCATCAAAATTGTAATTATAACATTGAAAAATATACAGCAGTAATTAACTCTCTGACTGCTTATCCCGCATTTCTATGGGCAACATACATTGTCATACCTTTTTTCCTCTATTAAAAGTGTATCATGCTGTTTCAGTGTTTAACCGTCAGTAACACATTATGAGCAGTGTTTAGACTTTAAATTACCTCCCCCCCCCCAGACAGATGGGATTGATTGCCTGCAAAATTTCATATATTTGCATAAAGTTTTCCAATTCAATTGATATGTAGATTTCAAATATGAAACAAAAAATACACAATTTTTAAAGCGATTTTGTTTAAAAAATGAGTGGTCTGAGGGTTTAAAAGGTGACTGAAGATGTTGGGATCAAATATCATGATTATAAAAAAGTTAAGTTATTGTGCAGATGAGAACTTTAGAATGACCAAATATTTATGAAGGGAAAATATTTTTAATACCTTCTTCCAGTCTATTAAATATACTTGCAATAACTTTTTAACTAACACCAGAAAAAATATTTGCCATTAAAAGATAACTTTTATAACTAATATATCTAGAACACGTATATAAATATATTTGGCCCACCAGCAGTCAAGCAGTAAAGTCGCTGAACATTGGTAGTTCAATCCGATGTTTGAATTCCACAAATGAGCTGGCTGCATGGTTGTTTTCGAGGTTTCCCCAAGGCATCCCTCCCCTTAGGCAGATAGCCCTCGAAGCTTTGCCGTAATCGCATAAACCAAACCAACCTATAAATATATCTTAATATCTAGAATTAACAAAAATTCCTAAACTTACTGGCACTTTTCTGCAACTAATAGTAAAGTTGAGAAAACTCATTTTGCTCTCAATTTTTATCAGCATCAAAATAAAAATTCTAAGATATATTATACAAAGTGGATGTCAATGAATTTAGCATTTAAATAAGCTTCATATGAATTATTTTAGGTAGTTTTCTGTTGTCAATACCAGCTTCAGAAATGCGCATATTTGTGTTTGTATATATGTGTGCAAACACATACACATATATGTACACGCATACATAAATTTCTGAATTCAGTCATAATAACAGAAAAGTATCTTATTTTACTAAATTGATTAGTTTTTAAATTTAAAAAAAAATAAAAATTTCTTATTATAAAAAAGTGTCAAATACCTCAGTAATTTCTGATGAAAATTTTGAAAATTCCTCTTGATTTTCAAGATGCTTTTCAATTTTATGCAGTACTTCAATTGTTATGGGTATCAGTTCCACAGGAACAACAAATTGCAACAAGTTTCTCTTAAATATATCTGAAAATTTTAATAACAAAATTAAAAGGCATAAAATATTAAACAAATATAAATTTATATTAAAAAAACATACATTATTCCTACCATGTATGTAATTACTTCATTAATACTTAAGTTACAATACATATTAAAAAAACTGCACATCCGATAGTAAAATAAAACAATAATGTGTATATCAGCAATATCTTATAATAAGGTATTACTACACAAATGTAAAAGAGTCAGCTCTAACTGACTGGGACATGTCAAAGCCATAACGTTTCAGGAGGGCATACTTACTTAGCATAAATAGTTATGTTTCAGCTTCACATCAAGATGGGCATGTAAAAAAAATAGAGAGTTAGGCCTTCTGTGCCATCAGTTAATGTTACAGTCTAAAATAAGAAATGGACAGAGATTGTAATACTCACGAAGTAGTAGTTAAAAATTTGTTTTTCCTTTACAGTGTCCCTTTTATGTGATGCAAAAATAAAAATGTAAAGTGTTGGAAAATTTAAATTGTGTTTTCATTTGAGACATAAAATTTTAGTCAACAGCCTCTGCCAAACAAGAAAACGTAGTAAGTTTTTCATTTTCTTACAAAATTAATAATAGAAACTGCATATGTCAATGGGTTCTGATAATGCTGATCAACAGTAGTCGATTGATTACAATAAGTAAAAGTAACAAATCTACAAAATACGTTCATTTCAATCATTTTAAAGAAAGAATTTAAAATATCCTTTCCTATTTAAATATTTGATTTACAGTAGCAATATATGTATTGTTCTCAGAGCTCATTATGGGTTTCATAAAAAATAGAGACGATTCAGCTAGTCATTGTTAAAATGCTATGTGATAATTTTTTATATGAGTTCCCAGAAACATGAATATTATTTGAAGATGTGAGGTTAACCCTTTGACGTGCAGTGGTCGCACCCTGAAACCACAATTTTTTTAATTTTTTTTTTTCAGTGAAAACCAATTGATTACTGATCTTTTACCTCTAAATAACAAAAAATGACTGCAGAATCATATATTTTTTAGATCTTAGTACTTCAAATTGGATGAATTTTAAAATTCATTTTCAATGAGACAAAATAACTTCCTTTTATTAATATAAACAATTTTAAATTTCAAGTTTTTCATAACACATCATGATTTCTATAATAAACAATAAAAATAGTAATAATTAAACTGCATACATAAAACACCAATGTATATTTATGGCATTTGCTTTGTGGTTTCAGGGTGCGACCACTGACTCACTAGAGTATTGTGTCACAATGCTCACAATCCTTTAGAGCAACGATAGGCAAACTTCTCTGGTAGCGGGCCAAAAAAAAAAAAAAAGTTTGGCGAGCCAAGATAAATTTTTACAAAATTTTAAAAACAATATACAAGTATTACAAATGAAATATATTAATGAGATGAATGAAATTGCGATTTCATTTTTAAAAGTTCCTTATATTGAGGTTCGCAGTGACTAATTCAAAGGAAAGAGGCGAAATGTACTTCTGTCAGTCTACTTCTGAAATAAGTCTTTCTAAGGTTCATAGTTAAAAACACTTGTTCACATACAGATAGAGGACAAATACGAACATCTATGAAATAATGGAAAATCTTTATTAATAAGGGGTTGGATCACCCTTTGACTGAAGTACAGCTTGAATGCAACGTGGGATAGATGCATAAAGGTCATGGACAATATTTAAAGGAATATTAAGCCATTCCTCCTGCAGAGAGGTCTCTAATTCCGAAAGTCTGGATGGAGATGGAAATCGAGAATGAAGTCTCCAAATATGCCCAAAAATGTTCAATAATATTAAAGTCCGAAGACTGCGGAAGCCAAGCGAGATGTTCAACTGCATCGTCATGCTCTTTGAACCATTCTTGAATACACCTAGCAGTGTGGATAGGGGCATTGTTGTCTTGAAAAAGCGTCTCCCCAGGGAATACAATCTGGACAAAAGGATGGACATGATCCCCAAAAACCCTTCTATCCCTACCAGCCAGCTTAGACTTTCGGCCACTGTTGTGCTTTGATGATGTCATCTAACCCTCTTTCGTGTACGCTGTCATAACAGCTGATACACCTTACTCCTTGCAAACCCCACAAGGTTTGCTGTTTCTGTAACCGATGTTCACTTAAACATGCTCCAAATATCATTCCTCTTTGGAACTCTGACAGGTCTGACATTTCAACTTCTCACAGACAGTTCGATCAAAGCATGCAATGCAGTGTATATAAGATGAAGCAAACATAGCACTGATTTTCTCTTCGTGAGATATTAAATTTGGGAAACTTGCTTTTAATAATGATTTGTAAAACTTTAACTTTGGCATATTTAGAAACAATTGCTTAAGATGATTGTTAGATTACAACTGAGTTAATACAAGCTGCAAATCTGACCTCACTGCTTCCAATTTATGCTAAAAGGCATGGAAAAAATATCCAATTCTGTTTGAATGGCACTGAAATCTTGAAACCTGCGTTCGAAATCAGAATGCAGTTTTTTCAAGCCATATTCATAATTCTTAAGCTTCTCTTCATTTACTGAGGGTATTGAATTAAAGCTCGGGAAATGAGACAAGTCGTTCTTAACTAGCTGCCCAGCAAACAGAATAAGTTTCAGTTTGAAAGCTTTGAAATGGGCCCAGATATCGTTGATGAATTGATTTTTCCCTTGCATCTTGATATTCAAATTGCTCACATGACAAAGAAGATCTGTGAAAAATGCAAAGCCAAAAGCCATTCTGTATCTTCTAACATTTCACACTCCCCAGAACATTGTTTCTCATGGAACAATGACACAATGTCTTCGTTCAGCTGTTATACTCGCTCGAAAACACATCCTGCACTAAGCCACCTTACTTTCGTATAATAGAGTACATTAGAGTATTCAGATTGCACGGACTGAAGAAAATCTCGAAATTGCCTGTGAGTACGCCCACGAGTACAAGCTTCACAACTGCATCAAGCACGGGTTTAATAGTCAGTGCATATTTACAAAGAGCAACTTGATGTATAACACAATGTAGAAAAACAACACTGTTCGCGGGATAGTTTTGATTAAAGAGTCCAAGAAATCCAGATTTTTTTTCCCTGTCATATTTGGTGCTCCATCAGTCGTAATATTACATATATTTGTTACAGGCACTTTAAAAGTTAAAAGCTCTTCCTGGAATTCACGAAAAATATTGCATCCCGTTGTAGTTCTCTTTAAAGAATGCATGCCCGCCAGTTCTTCGGTAATTTCAAAGTTCTCATTAACACCTCTTATAAATAATACTAATTGAGCAGTATCATTTATATCAGTGCTTTCATCCATAGCTATGGAGGAAAATTTAAGATGTCTTCGATTCTAGAAGTCACCGTTTTTCAAGATAAGCTTACAGTCTCAAAATTATTTTTCTTGTCTGGACATAAAACACCACAAACTTTGAGCATGCATTGTTTAACCGACTCCCCATCACTGAGAGCTTTATTATTTTTAGCAGTATTCTATGCTACATTGTAACTTGCATATGTAGCTGCTTCCTAGATACTGTTTACCTTCGTGAAAACATTTTGACGGCTTAATAATTTTTTACACAAAGACCTTTTGTATTTTGTTTTCTTTCATATTCGGACATTGCTTCGTAATTGGAATTCTTATGCTTAGATGTGAAATGACAAAAAAAATGTTGTTATTTGAAGACTGCTACAGTTTCACTGCAGTTAAGACACATTGGTTTATTTTTTACAACTGTAAAAAAAATATTTCCAGGTCACTTTATCATTAAAAACACGGCACTCTGAATCAACTTTACGTGTCTTAGTAGCCATTTTGGGATTGAAATATTTTAGGAATAACGAATACGAATTTTATGAATACATTAGCTACACTATGCTTTTAATAATTTCACCACTATTCACAATGATGCTATATGTCCACAATATTTCCACACGCAATCAATAATATTAGAACTTGCTTCAAAAGAAAAAGCCGCTGGCTGGAGCTTAAAATGCTCAGTCTGCCACCTGTGAGGTCTAATTCACCTGTATTGGATTCCTATAGTCTGCTCACGGAGAAAGAGATAAGGCTTGTTGGCACCAGTCTATAGCTATAGCTAAAAAAGAACTTTGCTGGCTGAAGAAACTAAAAAAGAAAGGATTTGGCCCCCGGGCTGTAGTTTGCCCATCCCTGCTCTAGAGGCTCAGTGATCGCGCCTTGAAACCACTGCTCTTCAAAATGGCGTTTGCTGCTTTTCAAATAGGAATGTTTATTTTTACCCAGATATAGATAAGGGGCTTTGAAACCACAGGGTTATTTTATTACTAAACCATACATGCACTTGCCCAGTGAAAAGATCTTTCTTTTCCAAAGATTTTTTTCTCTGGCCTCAACACGCTTGCTTCCTATGCTAGTACTATGATTTTATAAATTATTTCGTGCGGTTTAAATATAATGTAAATATACTTTGCTATAATTAAAAATAGAAATTGTGTTAAAGTTTTATTTAAATTAAAAATATTTTCTAAATATTTTGGAACGAAATATGAATGAGTAACAAAAGATCTGTACCAAAGCAAAAAAGACCAAGCCCCCCCCCCCATTAACATAAAAAGGAAACATTTCATGTGCCAGATGAAAAGAGACTAAATAACACTGGACTGGACATATACCAGTAAAATGCAGAGCCAGAAAGTGTATATTTTGTAGCACAAGGGAGAAACCTTATAGAACAAGATACATATGCGAAATGTGCAATGTGGGGTCTATGCATGTACCAGAAAGACAAAACATGCTTTGAACAGCGTCACAAAAAATTTTTCTTTGACATTTAAAAAAACACAGAGTTTTTTTATCCTTACTGAGTTTTTTATCCATTTATCTGAACATCTTTATTATGTAGATTCTTATGTTTTCACTGCTATAGAAAAATTACATAAATGCTTAGTTTTTAATTTTTTCTGACGATTTACTTTGTAAAATAATGTAAAAAAATTACATATAATGCAATTCTTACATACATTCTTCATTTTTTAAAAAATCTAATTTTAGGATGTTTACAATTATTAAAATTAATAAAAGAACTGCAAATTAAAAATGCTTACCTCCAATAACTCTAAGTTTTCCCTCTGGTAAACTATTGAGCGCATAGCCAAGAACTTTTAATACGAGATCCATGAAGTCAGGGAAATTTTCAGTATTTGTATATTTTTCAGTATCTTCAATATGTGAACAGATTTTTGGAGGTAGTTTAGAATATGCTGCAAAAATAGATAAGTAAAACCAAATGCACTTGTCCTTATCTTTTCCAAAATGCTTTTCCAGTTGCCCAACTACCTGATATCTAAGAGCAATTGAAAAACAAGAAAAAAAAAGTCAACTTTATAGTATGTAAATATATTTTAATAATTAATTTAAATATTATTATTTCCTAGGAGATGAAAAGAAAATATAAATGTAATGGAAAATTATTTAAAATAGGAGGTTTTTATAAGTGAAAATCTCAGCAAATTCTGTATGTAAAGCATAAGTTGAATTATGTCTTGAATTTAATGAATTTAAATTTAAGACTTCAGATTTATTAATATTATTATCTATTAAACAATATGTGCCAACTAATCTTTCCGTTCATTGGCACATCCACAATTACATGAATGTTAAAGATACTACAGCAAACAAGAATCAGCTGCAAGTTGTATAAATTTGCAAGACTACAGTTTCAAAGTATAAACATAACCTCTTTCTTCAGCTACCACAGAGAACAAGGCTTTGAGTATTTCATTGTCTCGTGTATTGAAATTGACGAGTTAATGTCACTTACTTGTCTAAAAAACAAACACATTTTGTTTTCTGTATTAAGTTGTAAAGTTTATTTAATTTTTTTAACCAGTTATTTTACATTCAGAATTTTCACTGTCACTTTTCTCTTTTTTTTTCCTTGCCAAAATGTAAATTATGTAGCTCATGTGTATTTAAGTAGAGGTTTGTAATTGCAGTCAGAGCGTGTTCTGCCTATTGAAGGCTACATTGCTAAGTGCATTATTCTAAGAGAAGCATTCCTGTCTTCGGCCATGCATTTATATAACTGCTGATAGCATTTCATACCAGTGAAGCTTTAAAAGCAACTTCATAGTTAGATTACTTTGCATACCCTTTGGCTATTTTCTGCTTAGATTTAGATTTACACTGAATTTCTATTTTGAGTTCTTGCCCTAAATGCTGGCAGATTTGTAAGCACCAAGTGTACCTTCTCTTCATCTTACTAAAGGGTCTTTTACAGCCTTCTCAAGTCTCTGTAATACTTTAAAGACATAGTGATAAATTGCTTACAGGCTTATTCAGGACTAGTCATAAGTTACACTTAGTAAAAGGCATTATTACAAAGTATTACCCGAGGGATTAATTATGGGAAGCCCTCTTAGTTCTGTTTTTTTCCCTGACATTTATAATAATTATTATGAATCCAAATTATTTGAAATATTAAATCTCCCAGTTTGATTCTGCTACACTGATGATCCTCTGTTTCATGGTATTGAAAAGGATTTAGAGTTTTCTCAATAATGAATTCCATTGATTTTGCTATTCAGTACATTTCTGAACTTAAGACATACAACTACTTTCCATTTTTCAACATCCTGGTCACATGTATACGTATAATTTTTGTACTACTGTGTATTGTAAACCACACTGTAAACCACACCTTCGACCACATTTCAAATTCTGCCATTTCACTAAACAGAAATAAATTTCATTTTTGGTACACTCCAAGTTTCCTCCTCATTAAGAACTCAATTACTTAGGAACAAAATTGCAACTGACAGCAGATTTTTCACTCTGTAATACTGGCCAAGCAGTTAGAAATATTTTCATCTCAGCACAATTAAAAGCATTATTTCATTTTCGAGCAATTTTAAGAATTTGATAGCAAGTGGTTTCTTTCCATCGAAAAGTTATAAAAATGTATGTATTTGGAAGTTTAACTTTATGCTTTTTTTTTTTTTTTTTTTTTTTTTTTTTTTTTTAATACCAGTAAAATTCCCAGTTTCTTACTTAGAGGCTTATTTCAGATATAAATTCTTGAGGTATATATAGTATTCCTTGCCAATGTGACATAATATACATTGTGGCAATCTGATGTTCGACTGCGTGTGCAGCCAATCCACATCATGTGGTTTATGTAAAAACTGCTAGTGTGGCAGTGAACTAGCTCACTTCACCCTTAGCTGGAGCATAGGATGCTTGAATTTTAGTTTAGTAGATTTTGTTATTTCATTCTGTTATTAAAAAGTTATCCGAAGCACAAATTCAAGACTCTGAAATTCAAAATTACTTATCTCAATCTTCACCAGCTTTTAAACTTGAGAAACATTACTTTCCTTTAGAAGATGTTACTCTTTAATGTAATACGGGCACAGCTTTACCTCGACCGTTCATACCTGAATCTTTTCGCTCTAAAATATTTCAGAAGATTCACTGTCTTTCTCATGCCAGTATTTCAGCTTCAACAAAGCTAATTACTAAGTGCTATTTTTGGCCTAATATGAAGAAATTTATTAAAACTGCAGCTTCAATCATGTTTCTACAGTGCCAACGTTCTAAAATTCTTAGGCATACGAAATCACCGCTGGGTACCTTTTCCTTGCCTGATGCAAGATTTGCGCATATCCATATTGATTTCATAGGTCCTCTTCCACCGTCTGGAGGTAACGTTATTGTATGACAATTATTGATAGGTTTACCAGATGGCCAGAAGTCATACCTACTGTTGACATGTCAGCTCAGACGACTTGTAAAGTGTTAGTGCATAAATGGATAGCAAGATTTGGCTGCCCGGTATCAATAACAACTGATCAAGGCCGAAATTTTGAATCTCGCTTATTTAAGGATTTAACGAAAATTTTGGGTACACATCGCATTAGAACTACTGCTTATCATCCTCAGTCCAATGGACTGATTGAGAGATTTCATAGGCAACTTAAAAGTTCAATAATGGCTCAATAACAACCCAAAATGAACTGAAATCCTGCCTATTGTTCTGTTGGGTATTATATCTGCCATTAAGAAAGTTATAAATGCTACTTGTGCTGAACTTGTCTACGGTACTACACTTAGATTACCGTCAGATATGATGAATGCTACAAATATTGTATCGCCTACTGAATCTTATGTGTCACAACTTCGATCAGTCATGCATTTAGTTAGACCTATTATAATCTCTAGGCATATTCAATCACCAATTTATGTACATCCAGCACTTCAAACCTGTTCTCATGTATTTCTGTGTATCGATTCTGTTAAACCACCTCTAACTCCACCTTACACTGGTCCTCATACCGTGGTTAAACGAATGGATATAAATTTTATTATTGAGGTAAATAACAAAAAGATTACAGTTACAATCGATCGTTTGAAACCAGCATATATGTTGTTAGAATGTATAAATTCACTTGTAATTTCTCAGTTTCCACAAGAAGTCTGCAAAGACTCAAAAATTGTTCCAAAACAAGTAGTTACCCAAAGTGGACGTCGTGTTCATTTTCCTAAAAACTAATTACTGTAATATGATTAAAGTTTTCTCTTGTGGTTTGCTGCAAATGTTACAGTGTATAGATACTTGATTTTTTTTTCGCATACGTACTGAGAGTTATATAAAATGCTTATCAACTTTTCATTATTTTTGTTTAACTAAGTTATGCATTGTATGGGTATACATTCCAATCAGAATTGTAAATGTATTATTATTATTCATATATTTGTATTTCTTTTTGTACGTACAATTTTATAGTATAATTTTTCAGTATAACTGTTATTCAAATGTGCATATCTTAAACTGGAAATTTACAGCCAACCCCTTTTGTGTCGTGACTGTGTCACTGAGGGGATACTCAATGGCATTCTGATGTTCGACTGCATGCGCAGCTTATCCACGTCATGTGGTTTATGTAAAAACTGCTAGCGCGGCAGTGAACTAGATCCCTTCGCCCTTAGCTGGAGCATAGGATGTTTGAATTTTAGTTCAGTAGATTTTGTTATTTCGTTCTGTTATTTCAGTTGTGTTTAAAGTTATGGTGCGTGTGAATAAAGGTTATATTTAAGGAAAAGGAGTCATGTCAATTCAAGAATATACACCAAGTAATAATACAATATACACCAAGAATAACCACCATAAGAATATACACCAAGAATAACCACCACGACACTATAACATTGATCAAACTAGGAGAGCCTTGAAATTTTGCTTTAAAGTGCATGAAACATATGCCAAAACAAAGAAACATATAAATCCTCCATTTCTCAATCTGCTAGTCAAAAACACACATTTTCTACTTCTCTGCAACCAAAATTATTCAAAAAACATCTTTTGTCGGCAACTTTAGATTTCCTGGAAGTGTTTCACATTCCTATTTTTTCTTTTTAATTCAAGTTAATGATTCCAATATTAATTCATCTTTACCTCTAGCAAATTATTTCATAGCTACTTTCACTTTTTGTCAACAGATGCATCAATCCAAAACAGGATTTCCTCTTTTTTGGATGAACTTTATTGAATTTTTCACTTATTATTATCATATGAAAATATGCTTCCCCTTTGTCAGTTTTCATTCCTACAGATGATGGAGCTTCTATTTAATCTTCAAAAGTACACTGTTGCAAATTTATGTAGCTTATAGTGATTCTTGTTGCTACAGCATCTTTTGTTCTTCAGTATACTGTTTTTGTTATAATTACATGGATGATGTGCATCTACTGAGGCTGAACGAATACAGAGACTGGATAATGTAAAATTAATAAAATATTTGCTTTACTCAAAATAAATGGAACACACAACTCTAAATTTAGCAAACGGTGTTACAAACAAATAAAGAAAGCCAAGTTACAGTTATCCTTTTATTTTTTACTAGCCCATAAACCAACTCCAAAAGGTAACATTCTGGTATTGACATACTTGAATGAATAGATGCAACATAAAGCTTTCTAGCAACCTCTGTAAAGAGATCTTATTGCACAAAATACACTTCCTCGTATTACCAAAAATCATGAATATGAAGTTGAATAATGGAAGATCTCCAGCACTTTTCAAGATTATTTACTTAGCTGTGGATGTTTGATTTTTACACTCACATTATCACAGCAAGAGCAATTTTTCTAATCAAAGGCATAAACTTTTCCATATAGCAAACAGACATCTAAAAGAAAGACATATTTAACCTAGTTTGCCAATAAGACAACTAACTGCCTTAACACTGTGGAAAATTTTTCAAAATACAGTCAAAAGTCGTTAATTCGGACACCCATAATCCGGAATGATCTATAATCCGGACCTCAAAGCTACAAACTTTCTTA